GTTAAAAAATTATAGAATGGTTCTGGTATTATATCACTTCTGAGTTTAATAATAGTAGCAACTGAACATGACATTGATTCCATGAGATATTAGACATACCAAGGAATTTGGTCCTAGATGAGTGTGGTACATGCAGATGTTTCAATGAGGATGATACCTGTGGTCTGCTCTTTATACAACATTCCAAAAATACTTGATTAGGTTGATAGCAGGACACTAGTGGTCAGGGTAAATGTTTGAAGTCCATGTCATGTTCTGAGAAAAAAAAAGAAGAAAAAGTCTAAACAATATGGGCTCAATAGATGGAGCCATTATCATCCTGAAATATAATATCACCATCTGGACAAAAGTGCACAAATGAAAAGTATCATCTGGTCAGTCACAAGCCCTAAATACTCCTTTGGATGTCAGATGACAATGTATTAATTAAATATAACCCAAATAATTTCTCTGCCTGCAGTAGCTTGATGCATTTGAGATCCAGTGATTCATCAGAACATCAGCATACACTGATTCTTCTATCTTTTTGAAACAGAATGGAGCATGATTTGTCAAATATCATTCTTTCATTGATCCAGAGTCCAGTACCAATGTCCATAGCATCATTTCAGTCAGCATTTCTGATTGTTTGCAGAAATGAATGACCCGCAAAGAAGCATTATTTTGCTAAAGATGATATTGTCTAGCTTGTGCATTGTTTATCTGGAAATGCTTATTTTGTATGTGCAGTTGAGTGGGTCAGTAATTTGTGTGGTGTTACCTGTCTGCTGCTCCTTACAATGCATACAATGCTTCTGCAGTAATTCTAAGTAGTGATTCATTTTTTGTCTCTGTAAGGGGTTCATTTCCCCAGCAATTTTGATAGTAATTAACTGTTTTGCTGAACACCTTTCTTAGTTTTTCCACAACCTTTGAGAGAGCAGTCCCATTGTATGGGCACTCATTATCATGCCCTTTGTGATTTCATCATATCTTGCTTGCTCATTTTATGGAATTTGAGAAACCCATCAATGCAAAATTTGCTTATACTCACCTGCTCTACCACTTGGATGCCACATAATCTAACTTTATATTTTCACAAAATAAATAAAAAATTGGGAATTTAAAAACCTGTAAATAGGAATCATAAAAAAGTAAGAAAACAAGGCTTAAGATACTGTAGATAGTATTTACTCAAACTGTAAGTCCCTATTTTGGCTCCATGCTGCTATCTAGAATTACATTTGATTGATTAAAATTACAAATCCCTATTTTTAATCAATTTTTAATCAATCAAATGTAATTCTAGATAGCAGCATGGAGCCAAAATAGGGACTT